AAGACTTCAGAGTTGTACATGTTACCCGCCGCCCAATAGTAGCATTAGAGGCACCCTTCCTACGTTACCAAAACTTACCAGTAGGGGTCGCCCAAAACTGCTTCTGTGCGGAGTGCCGAAATTAGGCATTCCAGTCCGCCGTACCGCCACCGCCGCTTTACCGTGCTTTTTTTTGGACCCTTACAGGCTCCAAGGCTGGGGGTATGTTGGGTACTGCGTACCCTTGACTGAACAGAGATGTCGAATCTCCCGCCGCGCCATCTGTCCTAATGCCACCTCGTGCCGACAGATGGTAGCACGCTCCAGCCCGGACCCGAGGTGGTCCGCTTCCGAATTCCCCCGCCGTACCGCCGCCCGAGCTAGGTAGCTGACCTCTCTAGCTTTTGACTTCTTCTGTGCTAGTACGAAGAGGTTATCTTTATCTTTCTGCTACCGCTACCGCAACTCGTGGTTTTTGCTCTTACGCATCTTTATTTTCAAGTTATCTTTTCTTTTGGTTTGCTTCCGCAATTTTGGTAAGTGGCATCAGCCGTCCGCCGTAAAGCCGCTTTGCTTTGGTGAGATCTTTTATTTTTCATTTTTCATTTAGTTGCCAGTGCCATGATAGTTTACTTGGTGTTATCATCCTTATCAAGTTGGCCATCTCTGGATTACTTTCCTATTTTTATTTTCGCTCTCTTATTTCAAGCCGATGAGTAGTTACTCCGCCGACCGCCGGAGCTTTGAGCCATGGAGTAAGTTTTAGTATTTGAGCCCGGAGTGAGGTTCTTTCCCAGCATGTGATCTGCGGTCTTCCCGAGCGTCAAAGGTAGGCCAGCTTATCCGCTCTCTCTCTTTTCCCTTATCATACTGGTGTCGGGCGGCTGGGAGGAAAAGCTACAGTCCACTACTCTCCCTATATTTTTCTCCCTGAGCATTGGAGTATTTTCAATTTGTTTGTGAAAATAGAGGGCCCGCAGCAGTTGCCCAACCAGGACCAGTTGCCCAGCCAGGAGCAGTTGCCCAACCAGGAGCAGTTGCCCAACCACGACCAGTTGCCCAACCACGACCAGTTGCTCAACCAGGAGCAGTTGCCCAACCAGGACCAGTTCAACCAGTTGCAAGAAAATCATACTTCGAACTTCATTGCATCCGATGCACTAACCACATTATTGATGATGAAAGTTATTTCAGTGATTGTGTAATTTTAAAAACCCCAATAAATGTCAAAGTTGGAGATGGTAGAATTTTAATGATGATTTTATTATATTAACTACACAAGGTTTCATTTAATTACCAAAACTTTATTATTCAACTTACACGAACACGAGACTTCGTTACATACATCGGACGTCATACTTGAGTGTGAGAAGCTAGTTTCCTTTTCTCCCAGAAGGTTATAGAGGGGAAGGCGTGCATCAGTCAGTGCTGCACTCTATTAGTAGATAAATTTACTATTCAACACAGACACTTGCTTTCTGTGTCCACTTGCGAGGGCGAGTTTTTTTCACGGTCGAATGCTTCAACGATTTGCGGCTTGAAACTTTCCAAAACTACGTCGGTTATCGTTCAGCATCGAATTCCGCGTGGTCCGACAAGGCAAACTGCATTCTCTTTCATGCCGCAATGTTTTCAAGTAAGTTCTGCATAAGTCCAGAACTTAATTTCTTCCCGAAGTGCAAGTATTATGCAACCAAGGTGCTTCGCAAGGAGCGAAAATACCACCGTCGGGATATTCATAAGCCCCACTTGCGTTGTATTCAAATCCAGTCTTAAAATGATAAATGAAGTCCGGGGCTACATCGACCGGCGTTGCCATTTTCCGAAATTAACTCCGAATTTCCCTCGAGAAGCTGTTCAGAGATGCAACACATCACAGCGAGCTGCAACGTCCGTTTTGTCGAAAATAAGTCTTTGACAATTAGTCGAGTGTGGGTGTTGAAAGTGCGGGCATTAACAGCGCGTCGGAAAACTTGCACCGACGAACGCTTAAAGCTCCTAAAGCTCCCCGAACTTAGAGAGAGATCGCACGTCGTTGTCGCGTTTTCGCCCCCACCCCCTAAATTCTGTACAAAACTGACTACTCTCTTTCTCCCCTGCATGCGTGTTCCACTCTCTGATTGGTCGGCTATCACGGAGCCCCAAATTTGGACCAATGTAAAAAAACGCAAGATGGCGAAAAAGTTCTTCAAAGTTCTAGACGTGACTTTTGGGTGTGATAGAAATTTTTTACACCCAACTCCGGAATTGAGTTCGGATCGAACTTAGATGAATATTTCTGCCGAAAATTAAGCTTTGAATGTGATTATCATTCATTTCTCAGCCGATAAAACGAGTTTCTTTGGGTCAGGTTTGTTGACATTGCTCCAATTATAGAGCTCCATGATAGCCTAGAACTGATGAACCAATCAGTGAGTGGCACAGATATGGCAGTACTCTCTCGTTAACATGAACTATAGTCCCTTTAAAATCCTTTTCCTTCACTACTATGACCTACATTTAAACCTGAAATCAAATCAAGTAATGGAATTATGTTACGAGGCGGACCCTTTAACACACGTCTTTTGGGCGTGTCCTTAAATGTTAAGGACATTACTTGCCAAGTTTCTTATGTGGGAGTCATGTCTGTTCTCGGAATCTAACAACTGTAGCCTCCTTATTCGTTCTGTTTAGTAATTTTCTCATCTGCTTCGTTCATTAACATGACCTACATTCCAACCTGAAATCATCGAAGGTAATGAAATAATCTTACGGTGAAGAACATTAAAAGCACGTCTTTCAGGTATTTTATTTAATTTGAGGACTTTATTCACTTTCAGTCATGAAAAAAAAGCCAATCCGAAACTGACGAATTTTACTTCCTTGTTCGTTTTGTTCAGTAGTTTTTTCATCCAGTTCCTTTATAGTTGTGACCTACATTTTAACCTGGAATTATCGTAATATTTAATTGTGAAGGACGTTTAAAGCACGTCATTTTAGTTGTGTCATTTACTTCTCTGTCGTGAGAATCGAGTATGTTCTCGGAAGGTAACAATGCTAATAGATCGGGACATGTGCAGAAGATAATTTCCAATGCAGATTTAAAGACCTGAAGAACAAACAAGCGCATGCAGCTAAAAATGATTCACTAGAAAAAAAACCACATTGGATCTAGAGTCCAGACTCTTAAAAACATCGACAAGAAAAAGTACTCTTGATTCAATCAGAATCTAGCTTAAATCAAGAACCAAGCCCCTTAATCCAAGCGGATTTCCTTTGGATATAAGCAAAAATCCGATTGAATCGAGAGTATTTTTTCTTGTCAATGTTTTCAAGAGTCTGGACACTAGATTCAATGTGTTTTTTTCCAGTGATATTAACGCATCGTGTCCCTTTCATACTTCGAAGAGCATTTCAATAATGCTAGTACAGAGTGAGGAAATAATTGATATTATTAGCAATATGAAAGAGCCGCCACTCTCATTGACGTTATGAATATTGCCTTTACTCAGTTTTCAAATTCTAACGCTCCTAATTAATTATAACGTGCATATAATTATCAATCGTATACGTATCAATGCGCTGAAAAATACCACAAGAAAGGACAGGAATTCTAATTTGAAATTATGATCTTGTGAATTCGAATTTTCGTGAATCCAATTATTTACAGCCTGAAAAGTCTCTTCGATCACATGTGGTGCGCGATCCGAGAAAAGAGCGCTGATATTAAAATATTGCTTGTAGAATGAAGAGCTTGCGTGAAACTTGTCAACTTGAAGACAGAAAAAAATACTTGATGGATTATATATGCCCGTGTTGACAGGGAAACAGGAATTTTAAAAAAAAGTTGGCAATGTTCGAGAGTTACCCGGTGCAACTTGAATGGATCTATCAAATAACCGCACATCAAGTATACTCACTTAAATTATAAATCCCACACCTGGGAATGATTAACATCGATGCAAAATAGCAGTCTCGCTGGCACGAGCTTAATATTTCAAGGTCCCGCTCATTCAAAAGTCAATGTATGTAAAAAACGGACTCGTGTGACGATCACCGCCGCACGGTGGGACGAATTGGCGAGAAATGTCAGCCATGATGTGGAAACTATAAAAGCGTCCATCTTCGTCAATTCAAAACGTAAGAAATTTAAAAATGGTTTATTGGTTTCCACGTAAAACTTCCTTCAAAGACATCCATAAAAATATATAGTATATGATAACGAAAGGAACTAAAAAGTTTCCAGTTTTCGTTGCAAATTTCTTGTCCGACCTCTCCCAGGCTTGTTCCTCAGTGCGCCGCAGCTCTCGATTTCCTACTCTGCTGCGTTAAGAAAAAACGCCGTATGATCCATCATACGCTGCCGGATTCCCTCCGACAAATCACAAACTTAAAGGAAAGTTTGCAAATATTTCTCTCCTTATTTTTCAGAGGATTTTGTTCGTGACGGGCCAGTTGCGCTAGTCACAAAATGTTTTGATGCTTAATGCTAGTAGATAAGCTAAAAATACACAAAGATCTGTCGAAATAGAGACTTTCTATACGTTCAATATTGACAGAGATATCCCGATTTGAAAAGTCGGGGTTTTCACGTTATCCACCGCGGTAGTGACACCTTTGGTTTCTTCCAACTTGCAATCATCCGAGTTTCACGTTGAGTAAATAATGTGCAAATATGTTTTCCTGACTGATGAAAGCAAGGTGTAAGAAACCAGGTATTTCAAAGCGCGATATCTCAGTTAACATTCAACTTAGAAAATTTCTGTTTGGGCGAATCTTCATAGTTTTAGCTGACCTACAAGAATCAAGCATGAAAACACGAATATGTGACTAGCACAACTGGCCCATCTGATCTAAAAAGTCTGAAAATTCTCAGGAAAATACTAACTAATAACTTTCCTCAATATTTAACGTTTTATCGAGGGAAATTTGGCACGTATCAAATGTTCACACGGCGTTTTTACTTAGCACGGCAGTGCTCATGTTGGGTCGTTCTGAATCAACCGAAAACGCCCATGAGACCGGTCATCGATGATCGCAGATCATTGATCCTCGTGCGTATCACTGATATGTTGACGTGATTTCGAGAGTGTTTAAAATCATACTGCTCCTGGTCACCTTGCTCTTCCTCTCGCCGATTTGAAACAGTTTAAAAAATGAATCCCTTCTTGATTTTTTCAATTGTTACGCTCTTTTGGAGTTTATGTTATGTTCAACCGGAGACCGTGCAGCATACCAAGTGTCCTACTGATACCAGTGAGTACGATCGATTATTTTCATTAATTTGGCCGATGGCTGTAATCGCAGCCATACAGTTATTTTCCCCCTACATACACTGTTAGAAAAATTCAAACTGCGTTTTGGAACTGTGTCAAATATTTTCCGAGCCTTGGAGTTCGTGTGAGAAAGAGTCATACTAGTTCAGGGAGTAAATTCGTGGAAAATAAAGAAAACCCACGCGGATTTGATAAAAAATAATAAAGATATTTTCCCCCTATATACATAGTAAAAAAAACAACTGGGTGAAATATTTCCTGAATCTTGGAGTTCGTGTGAGAGAGAGTCCGATAGTTCAGGGAGTATATTTGCGAAAACTAAAGAAAACTCGCGCGGATTTGATGAAAAGCCATTAAGTTATTTCCCCCCTATATACGTTATATGTATATGTAAAAAAATAATAAAAAAAAACCTACGTGAATTCGGGAACTGGGTCAAATATTTTCTGAGCCTTTAAGTTCGTGTAAGAGAGAGTCAGATAGTTCAGAGAGTAACTTTGCGGGACAAAAAGTAAACGCACTCGGATATGATAAGACGAAACAATGAATACTGTTATGGATCACCGATCTGTGTATTGGTTCATCAGATTCGAGTGACTGAACATGGGAAAACTTTCGGTACCATCTGACTGCGATTTTAAATGATCCCCGAGGTTTGGAGCATGTTTGACCCAGTCTCCATATTCACTTTGTTAGCGTCGGTAGTATGGAATGTAATATCTTTTTCAATAGCTAAGGGGCTCATCGCCCTTCTTCTTGTGAGGCTGGCTCCTTCCTGCAAAAATGATCGGCATCACATTCCGAAATTGCAGATACCTACTGAGCACCTTGAATGTCCAATCTTAGAAGAAGAAAAAAATTCCGCGATTCTCAAGTCTGGGCGTCCAATGGGCGCCGAAACTCAGACTGTTTTAAGTGCGTAATTAATTTGAAGCTCCTGCGGTCACACCAAACGCAAAATTCCTTTGATCCTCGCTTCAAATTACGATGTTTGCAGATGGATCGTACCTGTATCCTCCAAGGCAAAATGTTCAATGCAAGATAGGTGGAAACTAATTGGACTGCATTTTGCAATTTGGAACTATGAAGTCTGGCCCGGTTTAAAAACAACGTATGTGCCATTGGTTTCCCTATGCACATGAGTGTTCTTTCAGATGAGCCAGAATCTATAGTTCCAAATTGCAAAATGCAGTCCGAATATACATGGGAAGAGCGCGCTCGGGAACTATCCACAAAAATGAAGACGCATCCTCTAATTCGAGCACACATAAAACAAAAGATAGACTCTTTCCGGAAAAGACCAAATTTCATTGAAAAAATTTCAAGTGAATTAAAAATTACGTTTCGGGGATATATACATTTCACATTCAATTCCAAGCTGGTGATTATTTCAGGCTTAAAATGTGCGATGGGGAAAATATTTGGTCAAAATGCATTCATGAATTGAGAATTACTTTTATTCGTATAATTCTCGAAAAGCAATGTTCATTGCTTCTCAGTTAATAGAGCAAATAAATTTATACGTATTTCTTAAAGAGAGAGCAGACTTTCGGCCTTTACCCAAGGGGAACTAAAAACAATAGAAGTATTGAGGCAAGAAAAATTCGTTGGAAGGTTCCAGGCCTGCAGGAATTACCACCCCATCACCTAGAATTATTAGTTAATAAGCCCACTTAAAATACATGTTTATGAAAACGTTTTCTAGATAGCTGATGACTTTCCCGCCAAATAGTGTAATGACCCCAAACTGAAAGATGAAATTTCAAAAATCAACAACAAAAAAAAAAACAGAAAAATTGAGGCAGGAAAAAATCGATGAAAGGTTCCAGGCCTGCAGGAATTACCACCCCATCACCTGGAATTATTGGTATTTAAGCCCACTTAAAATAAATGTTTAGGACAACGCTTTCTAGATAGCTGATGACTTTCCCGCGAAACAGTGTAATGGCCCCAAACTGCAAGATGAAATTTCAAAACTCAATTAAAAACAATAGAAAAATTGAGGCAGGAAAAAATCGTTGAAAGTTACCTACAAACAGAGATGGCGTGCAAAGTAAGCCAGCAGACAAGGTCGGTAATTCCCCTTAAACTGCATGAATCATCAAACAGAATATTCAGGTCGTTAACCAACTTGGAGGAGATTTAACATACGACAGAAACCATTTGCCGTATTCTTCTTGACTTGAAATTCCATCTGATCGCAAGAGCCTCGTATGATAGAGGTGCAGGATTCCATGTTGCATTTGAGAACCTTACAGGCTAGATCAAATGAAAAGGTCATTGGGTACTTCTCTTCCAGAGATTGGAGACCGAAAAATTGTATTTTAAGGTACATTGGAATTTTCACAGCAAAAATCAATGACAATTACAAATCGCCATTTGACACCGGAAGTAAACGATCATATCCGGTGCTGTTCTGGACGATTCTAATTCCGCTGTATAGTCAGAAGAGTGGACCCTTTGAAATCAAGGGACGTTACAACGGCTGAAGATTTGGACGAAATTATTGTTAGTTGGACGAATTCATGTTAAAAGGAGCTATGTGAATTTGCGTGCAAGATTCCTGCTTGTTGTTAATTGCTTTTCGGAGTGACTTTTCAATTCTGATGGCAGCGGCTCTTCACCGTGGTCCCCGAAATTACTTTCATCGATTCTGAAGTATCTTAACATAAGCTTCAAGTGACAAAATTTACGCAGGAGGATTCCGTTCGGGGCACGTATATCCTTTATCTCATTCAATCAAGATCAAAGCCACTTTTTTCATTCTATTCCGTAGTTCCCGAGGACAAATTGCAGGTCAAAATATATTACTTAACCATTTGGCCTTTACAAGAAAACGTTCATTAGAGAAATAAATCGTTTCTCTCAAGAAATAAAAGTGCAAGAAGAGGTGGATTCAACAAGGAACGACACTTCTTCCGATTCTAATATCCCTGACATGGATCAAAAAATCCTTAATGCAGTTGAGGAAGTTTGCAATGTATCATTTCTGCGGCGCCCCTCCTGGCTTTTTATGCTAGAATTGCTAGAAGTTCATTACCTGAATAAGGTGCATTCTAAAGGAGAGCTAAGCATGTATACGTCTAGCTATAAATAACCGAAAATATTGCGCGAAGATTAAGCTCATTCTACTTTTAATGTTTTCACGCAGATTTAGATGCTTGATTCTGTAGTTTTTCTACTCTAATAGCCAAGACAAAGACTCTTGGGACAGGTTCTCATTATCTAACTTTCGATAGATAAGTTGTAGAGACTCGAAAGGAAAAAATTTTCTCGTGAAGTTTATAAGTTATCTCTGCTTATTGACACTCAATGAAACAATTATTACCTACTGGAAAGTATGGTCGAAAAGTCATGTCGAGCATACCTACTAATATAAACTTAATCTTCCAGAGAGAAAGAGATAAATATGCGTCAGTATATGAGTAATTCAGATTAGAGTCTGAGATTAGAATGAAACTTGTTTTCAGCTGTAACGGACACAGTTTAAACCCCAGTAGCCGATGCCGTTGAATGTTAATGTTAACTTTACACGGAGACTTAAACGCAGGAAAAAAGAACTTGAGTACCAATTGGCTTCTCTGTTAAAAGATAAAATATGATTAGAAAGCTAGTAATGATCAGGCCTATTGCACGCATTTTTGCTAAAAGAAACTAAGTTGCATGGAAAGCCTATGCATATAGTTCCTTTTAGCACAAATGCGTCCTATTCAATTAATAGCAAACCAATTATCTTTTCGTTTCAGAAAAATGTGACATTCATCAAGTGCGGATAAATCCATGTCCAGATGCTAGGGAAGGAAAACCTTGTAGGATGTTCCGTGGCACAAATGGTAGCATAGAATTTGACTTCACTCCCAGTAAGTACTGTATGCAGTAAATTAAATTATTGTCTATATTTTTATTAACCGTCTATTCCTTTTGAAAAAGACTTCAGCTACGACAAAAAATACTTCTGAAGAAACCAAAACGCACAATCACACCCGCACAAGACGATGAAGAGAAAAAATGCTAGTGCATAAGGAAAAACACTCATTGAAAATTCTTAGAATTTTGCAAAAGGGTTTAGTACACAAATCGTGTTACTACAAATAATATGCAGAAACTGCAGATCCATAGAAAGAAATAATAAACAGCATAATTTACCTCGAACTTCATTTACCACTGTTTACGTACTGGAAACGTTGAGAAAATTAGTAAAGGCAACACTTTCACTAATTTTCGAACGTATTTGGTACGCAGTTGGGTGCAAAATCCTAACTCGCAGTGAAATTTTTTTTTTCATGCCATGATGATCACGCCATTCGTCGTGGTAGTGTAACACTTATAATACACGATCAAACCGTGCCATCAATATATCTAGGTCAAGTGCTGTGATTGGCCCAAGTCATCGAAAAAGGCAATCACAACACCTTACTTTGATATTCTGATAGCTGGGTTTGATCGTGTAAACAAGCACGGTAAGTATGCATGAGCAGGTGACTCTGAACAGGTGTCATACGAGCGTGCGATTTCTGTTCCAGAATTTTCCGGTAGTCAAATCGGTGCTCGAGTCTACTGGGCCTCGTGGTTCGACGTGCCTTTTCTCGATATGAACTCTGACGGATGCTTGTATACGACCTGCCCGATGGAGGCAGGCAAAAATTACACCCTCAAGTACGGAATCCTGATAAAAACCTGGTATCCGACGGTAAGTTCTGGTATATTTTCATGCTAGTTGTTGGATTGAAAGTATGAAAAAAACTATGGAGACTCGCATATTCTACATTTATATCTTCTTTGAGACACGTTGCCACCTTCCGGCCGAAGTAACACAAGCGCCGCGCGACCTTACGAAATATCCGCCCGCCATTATATTTTAGTGCAAAGAATTTTTTGGTTGATCTGTTTGAAAGTACCAGTGAATGGAGATGTTGTATATGTGAGGAATTTGCGATTTGACTACTGATTCGTTTGTAAAAGTTTGCGAGAAACACGATGGTGCCGCTGGTTTTCTCTGAAATTAACTCCCAAGTTCAAAGGAAGCTCTCAAGTTGAGGCCAAAATGGAGGGGATATCCCATCCCACGCTATCCTCAAGGTCCACCTCTACATCAAGAAAACCTCTCCGTGCAAAGATAGGGAGCAAATACATTAGCAGGGTTGCCGTGATATCAGTTTTAGAGTCCCCAAATGAGGTAGCAGCCCTGTCAGTGTATTTGCTCCCCATCTCTGCATGGAGAGTTTGTCTTATGTAGAGGTGGACTCTCTGGATAGCGTAAGATATCCCCTCCATTTTGGCTTCAACTTGAGAGCTTTTTTTGAGCTTGGGAGATAATTTCAGGGAAAATCAGTGGCACTGTCGTGTGTCTCGCGAACTTTTGCATAAGAACCATTGATCAAATCGCAAATACCTCACGCATGCAACATCTCCATTATCGCCAGCACAAAGAAAATTCGGTGAAATTTCCGAACAGCTTCGTTGAACAATTTCTCCATATACAAATAAAATGGCGGCGGAAAAGTTAGACGTCACATATGGCGCTTGTGATACTTTGGCCAGAAGGTGAGGACGTACCGTGTACGGTGGACTGTGATTCGTCGGAACAAGGAGTCTTGAGCCCAAGGAATTTTTGACTCCTCGCGTTCCCCGATACTTCCTGGATGTTTTACAGAAATTTCCCAGAAAAATTGGGAATTTCTTCCCATATCGACCACCATGAGTTTGTGTCACTCATTCTTACAGCGTACACTGCTAAATGAGGTTTTTTC